CCCCCCCCCCCCCCACCAAGGAGCCCAGGATGCTCACAGCAGACGGCAGGGGGGGCTGCAAGCTGCTGCACCAAGGGCTGTGGAGCCTTGTCCTGGCTCATTGCTAGCGGCAGATGCATGTGTGCCTCTGGGCGGACATCAGAGGAGCTGTGAGGGGCCTGATCCTTCTTGTGGCAGCACAGCCACAGCCCCTTCCCTGCTGTCCACCCTGAGGCACATATGCCTAGCAAAATGCCTTTGCATGACATGCTCTGGCACGTGTGCCAGGGGTTGTCAACCCTTGATGGTATCCCTTTTTAAAAGAATTTTTTTTTTTAAGGCCATGTAATTTCACTAAATTGTCTTGCATTAAATTAAAATGAATAACATTCAGAGAGACAGAAGTCCTAGTCTCAAATAAATCTTGGGAAGATTTGCTTTCAGAAAACCACCCAGTTGGTACTTGAGAGCATGGTGGGAGGGATGCAGGTGCATGCTGAAAAAATGACATTCCATGATTATTCATGCAGTGAAAAGCAAGCCATGAAACGATGATACATTTGTCAGAAGTTGGGTAAATTTAATTCCTCTGGCTAATAATCAACCAGATTATTCCAAATTTAAGAAATAATTAGATAAATATAACATTATGTCGTTAGTTGAGAAAAGCATTCAAATAAAGCGCAACTGCTGTTAGTTGAACAACTGCATAATTTACCTTCTTTAGCTGAGTGAGTGTGAAGTTTCCTGTCATCCTCCTGCACTCCAGAGATTTTTATACAGACGTGCACCTGGAAGGATTAATTCTCCACTTACAAAGACCAGCCAGTAGGAGTGCAGGCTATTTTGGGTAACATTACCAAGCAGCACTCTAAGAACTTGCTATGTTACACTAAACTTTTTCACATTTGCTAAACAAACTAAAAATCCTTGGCAGTCTCTGAAGCTCTCACAATGTGTCTGCTTTAGAAACTGAATCTTTTCAAGTTCTCCTGATGCCTTTCTTGTGGTTTTTAGGTTTCAAACTATTTTATGTCTCAATGTAATCAGCTGCAGTCCTAACCCAAACAAACAGCTTAACATGGTCAAAGTTACTATACCACTAACCTACCCAGCCAATTGGCAGCAGACCAAACCGAGAGAGAAATTCACATGGCACTGAAGATCCTGCTTCCAGGGAAAGGATAGCCATAATGCCCCTCGGAGAGGATCTTGTGGCGGAGAAAGCCATGGGCATACTCTGTGTCCACTCTGAAGTTACTGGAGTTTCTGGAAGCTGTGAGATGAGAGGTAAGGGGATCCAGCAGCACTATAGACTTAACAAAAAACATTAGCCCTCCAATAGGATCTATAATCAGCCTACAGATGCTGAGAAAGGTATGTAAGCCTCTCTTAAAGGAACAGCATAAACCTGAAAATCCTTTTTCAGCTGAAAAATCATCTGTTTGTGTTACAAGCAACTCATAAGATTAGCCAGAATACTACCTTTTTTTCTTTTGAGAATTCAAAGCTGTATGTTTTTCCTAGTTTTGCTGCCCCCTGCACAGTTGAATTTTGCTTCATTGGAAATTTAAAAAAAAAAATCACTGGCTTGTAGAAAATTCCTTTTAAAGGGAAGTTTACAGAATATTTTGTTTTTTTACATGTATAACAATTGATTTAAAGAGTCCATAATGAGCCACTGGAGGTTTACATTAAAATTGGGAATATGTAAGCTTAACCTCTAATAACTTATAAACATTTACCTGTCTGAATACTTACAACTATTAAACTCCTATCGCATGCTACTTTTCAAGAACAGAGGGGGGGAAGAAAACCTCTCTACCTATCGCCATCTGAGTTACTTCTGTTTTTTGCACATTAACCACTAGGTGTCTTCAATAGGCACATACATCACATTCTCTTACAAATATGCACTTGTTGGCTTTGTCAGCTCTTTACTAGGCTGGGTATTTCTCTGATGCTTGTTGGGACCAGATACTGAAACACTGGTCTCTTAACCAGACTTCCACTCTTAGAATATCCTAAAAGTACGTTTAATCTTTTCCCAGCCTGTTTACTGCCCACCTGACCATTCAGATATCATATTTATGTGAATCCAAGACTACGTTTTTTGTGGGTTTTTTCCCTCTCCCATTCAACCTATGGGGAGGGGAGGTCAAGAAAGCCCCTCATCTAGGATCTGAGTATAGGGGAGAGGGAGGGGGTCAGGCAGCTGCTGTGGCTCTGGTTCAGGCATTGGAGCCTTAGCTGCTGCCCTATCCCTCCTGTCTGCTGTCACCCTGCCCCCTACCTCCCTGCAGCCACCTCTGCCTTGCACTGCCTTTGCCTCACCCCCACTTCCTGTCTTCCTCCTACCCTAAGCACTTGCCCCTGCTGCCTACCCTGACTTGTGGCTCAGGCCTAAGACATGGAGCTCCAGCCCCAACTCTGCTCCAGAGCCAGGGCCAGAGCTGTCAGCACTGCCACTGCAACCACTGCTGCCCAGCCAAGCAGGGTCCAGAATCAGCATGTTCTCTGTGCCCTGGGCTGAAATTAGATCCAGACCTGTGGGGGGACACACTGGGGGGGACACAGGCATGGGACAGGCAGCAGGAGAAGACAAGTGGAGGGGGGTCAGGATGCTTGATGAAAGCGCTAGCTAACATTCTCACCAGGTAACTCTTGCACTGGCAGACTATTGTTGTTCTAATGCAGGGGTGGGCAATTACTTAGGCTGGTGGGCCACTTAATGAGTTTGGGTGAACTTTCAAGAGCTGCGCACACAAATTCAGAAAACATTTTAACAAATTACAGTTAACTCATAAATCAAAAATCAAACATCTATTAGAACATTTTTATTTTATGTAAAAAATATTTTTGTCCTGATTTGGTTTTTTTGAGTAATGTGTATATATAAAGGCAATTGCATAATAGCTCAAAATAAAGTCTTACTCTTGTATATAGTATGGGGGGAGCTGTTGGGGGGGGGGGGCGTTG